CGCTGCTATTAGTTCTTAAGTAAAAAAATGATACAGCGATAATACGTTACATTTGGGGTAGTCGAGCGAGGAATCGTGTGCTTCAGGGGGAGTCACTACACTATCTGCTCCGTTCTTCTATCAAAGTTCGTCGTAGAGGCCTTTCCCTTCCCCAACTAATCCAGGTCGTCCTCCGCTTCACTCCTCCTCGTCTCAACCGGAAATCCATCATGCAAGCGAATCGTATGCTTCTTCTCCACCACCAGCATTACCAGTGACATGAGCAGCAGGCAGGGGGCTAGCTCGGTTGTCTTTTGCTTGCATGCAGTATTCGGGGGCGGCGCCCGCGAGCGACATTTTCTGGTTCCCACTTTTTTTGTAGCGATCGTTTACTGCAGCCACGAGCGTCGTTGATCTGTAGCGTGGACTGAAGATTCCTGTATTCGCCACGTTTCCAGCAGCTTCCACGCGTCCCCGTTGCCCCCCCTTCCGGGGCGGCATGCGCAATGGCATTCAAAGGCACGTGAACAGCTGTTGAGTGAGATCGTCTCGATTTTTATGGACCATGCGGCCTCGGCATCCGCCTCCCCAGCGTCTTCCGCCTCACGTGGCGTGGGTAAGGCGAAGTCTGTGTCCAGCCGTCGGGGGTGGCTCGGCGCCCCCCCGAAGAAAGCCTTTTTTGCAGCCAGTTGCTGTGCATGCAGCTGGCGGCACATAGGGGGCAGCAACACGACCGCCGATTCGGAGACTCGTAGGGAGGGAGCGCTTTGTTGAGGGAGTTTGCATCTCGCGCTTGTGCAGGTCTGCTGGTGTTGCTGTGCTGACGCTGTATGTGCAGGCACACAGTCCTCGCGATGGCGGCGGTGTGGCGGACCGTCCACCGCTTCTGCTCGCTGACAGAGGGGGCCCTCAAGGGTCAGTCGAAGGGCACTATGAGTACTATGGGCCCCCCCAAAGAAGGTATTCACCAGGGGAACCACTGCACCCCCGCCGACGCTGTGACGGTGCTCCTGGCATCCCCCTGCTCCGAATGCCTTGTTTCATGCGGAGGGATGAGATGGAGTGGAGCAATAAGCCCTCTCTAGGCCCTTCGCTTCCTCCTCGTTTGATTCCCCACCGACTCGTGGGGCCCCCCCTAGTGCAGCGGCTTCAAGAGGGGCCCCCCCCGCAGTCTCCAGAGGCGATGTGCCGTCCTTCCCACTGGCAGTGTCGCCGCAGAAGTGGGAGCCGCGGCAGCAGTTGCCGCGGTCTGGGGAGTCATTCGCATCGAGGTGTCTCTACGGACGGAGAGAGGTAGGGAGGAGAGCTTGTACTGTTTTTCCTTCTTCTGACCCTAGCTGTGTGCCCGTGGAGAGAAGGGGGGAGGAGGGGAGGAGGAGGAGGCTGCCTCTCGAGCGCCGCCTTCATTGCATGCATGCATGCATGCATGCATGCATTAAAGCCTGCCTACGGGGGCGTTTTGCGCTGCTCGTGCAGGAGCCGCAGTCGCAGCGTGAGCACCATCAGTGTCAACGAGCCAGCGGCAGAATCGCCAGGCACAGAGGGCAGCGGCTCGGTAAGCCAGCGCGATCAGCAGCGAGCGCAGCAGCGCGTGTGGCAAGAGCGATCGGCAGCCTTCTCTTCGGTGGCAGTGAGTGCTGGTGGCAGCAAGCAGTCTCCAGAGGGGCCTCTAAGGAGATCTCTCTCGCGGGCAAGCGACGTCTCAGCTCTTTCTTCTTGCCGCTCGCGATCTCGCTCGCAAAGGCTTCGCCGATGGCAGCAGCAGCAGCGGCGGGGGATGCTGCGTGCAGTGCCTCCGGCTCTTAGGTCGCCTAGTAGAGGCCGTTGGCTTCCGCAGATGCAGCAGCACATGCTGTTTGTGCCCCGGCAAGGGCATCCAGCGTGGCAGCAGCAGAAGCAGCAGCAACGTGCGCGTCTGCAGCGGTTCAGCAGCACGAGACGCAGCAGGAGCCGCAGTTCGCGTGCCTCGATTTCCCCCAGCAGTATAAGCAGCGGAGGAGGGAAGCGGCCGACACCTCGGCATCACTACCAGAAGCAGCAGCAGCAGCAGAAGCAGCAGCAGCAGCAGCAGAAGCAGCAGCAGCAAAAGCAGCAGCAGCAAAAGCAGCAGCAGCAGAAGCAGCAGCAGCATGCGGCGTCGCTCCCCAGCAGGCAGAAACAACACATACGCCAAAGGCAGCCGAGCCGCAGACGGCAACCGTCTGCTGATTTGGTAGCTGTCGTGGGAAAGAAGGCCAGCAGAGCAGTGCTTAGTGACGTCAAGCAAGACGAGGATAGCAGTATGCTTCTTGATGCGAAGAAAGCCTCGAAGCGGAAAGACGAAATTCAGCATCTTGAGGAGGAAGCGCACAGCGTTAGCAAGGACGGCGAGGCCGCTTCTAAAGGGGCTGCCACGGCAACAGCCAGCGTCTCCAGCAGCAGCAGCAGCAGCAGCAGCAGCGGAGCATCTCGCCCTTCCCCTCTGGATAGTTGCACTGCAGGGGAAGCTGCGGGAGACGCCGAAAGGAGTATACGCAAAGGC